CAGAGCTTGAGAAAACAATCCAAAAATTCATTTGGAACCAGAAGAGACCTAAAATAACAAAAGCAATTCTAAGCAACAAAGACAAGGTAGGGGATATTACAATCCCCAACTTGAAACTATACTACAAAGATACTGTGATAAAAACAGCATGGTACTGGCAAAAAAACAGACCTGAGGATCAGTGGACCAGATTAGAAGATGCAGAAACATCTCCAGACACATTCAGCCACCTCATCTTTGAAAAAGAAGCCAAACACCCTCACTGGAGGAAAGATAACCTCTTTAATAAATGCTGCTGGAAAAATTGGGTTTCAACCTGCCAAAGATTAAAACTAGACCTATATCTCTCACCATGCACTAAAGTAAAATCAAAACAGATTAAAGATCTAAATATTAAAATGAAAACACTAAACCTGCTGGAAGAGAGGTTAGGTAGAACTCTTGAAGACATTGACCTAGGAAAAGATTTCATGAACAAAACCTTAGTCGCAGGTAAACTAGCACAAAGAAGCAACAAGTGGGATCTCTTCTTATTAAAAAGCTTCTGTACAGCAAGAGAAACCACCAATAGCATGAAGAGACAACGTGGGAAGAGACAACATGGTGGGAGTGTAGACTGGTGCAACCACTTTGGAAATCAGTATGGAGATACCTCAAAAAGCTAGGATTAGAGGTCCCATTTGACCCAGCTATTCCCCTGCTAGGTATCTTCCCAAAAGAATTAAAAGAATCGTACCACAGCGATATATGTGCACCCATGTTCATAGTGGCACAGTTTGTAATAGCTAAAACTTGGAAACAGCCCAATTGCCCATCAACTGAAGACTGGATCAAGAAAATGTGATTTAAAAAAATAAAATAGAGTAGTACTCAGCCATAAAGAATGAGAAACTAGAGACATTTATAGCTAAATGGATACACAAGGAGGCCATACTCTTAAGTGAAATACATAGGACACATATGTGTAAATATCGAATAGTTTCTCTGGTGTGAGAAACTGAAAGTGTAAATAAGAATCAAAATGTATGATAGATAATGTAAAATAGGAAGAAAAGGTCCAAAGGGAAGGGGAAGTGGGAGAGGTAGGGAAAAGGAAAGAAGGGAAAGGAATAAATATGAAAAAAGGAAAAAATGGAAACAAAGTCTTTGAAAATAGGGAAGGGTGGAGGGGGTAAAAGGAGGGCAGGGGAATGGGGAAAAAATAGGAACCAAGATATACTATGTAAAAAAACCAAAAGATACATTATATAAAGGTACAAATTCCCAATAATGAATGTCACCATATTGTATATCTAAAATGTACCAATAAAATTAATGGGAAAAAAGAGAAATACAACTAACTAGGGGCACTTACTAGTAAAATGATAAATGATGATTGGCAGACAGCATTTGCCTCATATACGATAGACAAAATATTAATTGTCTGTAAAACTAGCTTCTGTAACTCAATTTTAAAGAGGCCAACAATCAATCCAATAGGAAAAATCAGCCAGTGTTAGTTCCTAGCAGAGGAAAAACACCTGACTGCATATGGGCAAAGCTTACTCATAAGAGAAACACAGGGCTGGGATTTAGCTCAGTGGTTTCGCTGCCTGCTGTGCAAGCGGAAGGACCAGAGTTCAATTCCTGCATACCAAAAAAAGAAAAGAAAAGAAAAAAAAACAACAATAAAACGGCTAGGATGTAGCTCCATGCAAAGGCCCTGACTTCAATCCCCAGTACCTAAAAGAAAAAAAATCTGATAGAGCTCTGTGGTAGAGCACTTGCCTAACACATACAAAGTCACTGCAAAACAAAACAAAAAACAAAAGAAACTGAAAGATTGTATTGGTTAGGGCATAAGGCATGATAGAGGGTAGGGCATAAATAATATGTATGGGAAATGCTATCTGGATATATAAAAGGTTCCTGACTTAGGATGGTTTGCCTTAAGATTTTTAAACTTTATGATGGCATGGAAGTGATATACACTCAGTGGAAACTTTTCTTTTTTTTTTTTTTTAAGACAAGTCTCACTGTATAGCCCAGGCTGGCCTCGAACTCTCGGTGATCCTCCTGCCTCAGCCTCCCAAGTGCTGGGATTAGAGGAGTGCACTACCAAGACCAACCCATACTTTGAGTTTTGAATCCGTATTTTTTTCCCAGGCTACTGATATATCCTCCAATCTCTCATGATGCTGGGTAAAGAGTAGTAGGTTGCAAGCTCCTGGTCAGCCCCACAATCAAGAGAGAGAACTACAGATACTCTGAAGTGTGCAGCATAGCTAAGCTAGGATGTTGGCAGGTTAGTGTGTGGGACTCCCCCTTGAGCATACCCAAAGCAGGCTGTGAGCAGTGCAGACTGTAGAGTTAACCCTGCAATTGGCAATGTTTAAGAAATGAGTCTAACCAAAGCTTACATGACTCATAGGGCAATGTGGATGGCATTTGGGCCAATATCAGCCCGCCACCCTCAATGACCATGGCAAAGACCAGAGAAATGGCTGTGGTGCTATGGGGCTTAATACGAGACAATACACAGCTGATGTCAGAGTGATTCACATCCAAATTTCATTCCCAAAATTAAAACCATCTTAACTGGAAGGACAAGGTTATTTGCTAACCACAACCTATATTTTGTCTGTTCTGTTCCTAATTCAAGAATGCTTTGTCTCTTCCTTTACAAGCCTTGCCTGTGTCAACAACGTATCCCTAGCAACTACACGTAGCCCATTTACTCTGACCCATCTGTGATGTCACCAATAAATATCAACAGTTTTGTTTGGCCAGTGCCTTTGCAAATTACAAGCAATGCCACAATGTATACCCTTGACTTACCTGAGAATTCACAGAAATGAAACCACTAAGTCAAGGAATATTGACAGTTTAAATGTAAATATTGCTATACAGATGCTCCAGGACTTATGATAGGCATATGGTCTATAACTCCATCTTCTGCTGGAAGTATCATAAAACAAGAATGCACTCAAGATTCATTGGGGGGGTGGTACAAGCCTGTAATTCCAGTACAGGATGCTGAGGCAGGAGGATCTCTGTGAATTTGAGGCCAGTCTGTACTATGTAGCAAGAACCTGTCTCCAAAAAAAAAAGTATTTTTTGGTACCAGGGATCGAACTTGGGTCCTTGCACTTGTGCAGCAGGCACAGAAACTACTAAGCTAAATCCCCAGACCTACGTTTAATATATCTATATCGGACACCCCTGTAGCAGATCCCGATCTCCTGCTCGGTGCTATGACACAAGGTGAGAAGAAAGACACAGAAACAGAGTTGCAAAAGATTGGATTGCAAAAGATTGGGGACAACCTAGATGTCATCCACAGGAAATTCTTTAAATAAAAATGGTACATGTAGCCAATGGAATACCATGTGAAGGAAAGGGAGGAGCTTAGGGGTAGAAACCTCCCAAGTGCCAACTTTAGTGTTTTTTTCTCCTCGGGTTTGAGTGAAATGGTGCTGAGTCCTACCCTGACTTTGACAATTCTGATGAGACTGGTGTCACACAAATGGGCCTGGGTTGCTGAGTTCCCACCTGGAGAACTTGGAGTTTCCTGCCGATGAGAAGCAATTTGACCAGGGATTTTCTTATTTGGCCACCGGAATTTTAAGGGTATATTTCTTACAGAAGTTCTATGATTGTTCTTTTTTTTTTTTTTATGGTACCGGGGATTGAACTTGGGTTCTTGCACTTTTGAGGCAGGCGGTGGAATCACTGAGCAAAATCTCCAGCCCATTTTTCTTTTTTAAAATTTTGAGACATGACCTCACTAAATTATCTAGGCTGGCCTTGAACTTGCAATCCTCCTGTCTCCACCTCTGAAGTAGCAGGGATGACAGCCATGTACTCCCATGCCCAGCCAGATAGACTGGCTCTTTAAAATAAAGAAAGACAAAGCCCCCCACGCACATGCACTTACACACACTGTTAGTCTCCCTTACCCCTGGATCAACACTTAAGCCTGCTACTTTGTAAGTAGAACTTGGCCAACCCCTTGGGCCTGTTCTAGGGGCTCCAGCCTCAAAGAGCTCCTTGGACACTTGTCTAGCCGTGGCCCTAACCATTCCTTTCTCTGTGCCAAACACCTTGCTTTGCACAGCCCAGTTCTTCACCTCCTTCTTGAGCTTTTGCTGCCATTTATCTGGTTGAAATGTGCGTATGTGACTGGGTCATCATGGCCCTTCCTAGCCAATGTTCTCTCATTCCTTCCTGCATGTCCAGTTTTGGGATGTCCCTGGCATAAAAGTATATGCACATTCCTTACTTCCACACCCGCTATCCTGTCTCTTCTTGGCAGATGTGAAACCACCAGAGGCAGAAGTAACCTAGTTATCCAGTTCTAAGCACCTCGGCCTCCAAGCCCCTCCTTGCTCTGGCCAGGCCCGCCTCTCATCCACTTCCCATCACTCTCCCCAGTTCCCCTGGCATTCTTGGCACTTCTCTAACGTTTGGTGGCCCTATCTCAGGGTCTCTGCACTTGCTGTCTCCCCTACCCACTCCCTTAGACATTTACAAGATTCCTACTTCTCATTCAGGTCTAACTTGTGAGGTTTCTTTCTGGCCCCCTTACCTCCCCCCCCCCCCGCTACATCCCCAACCCTTTTGTACATCCCAACCCTATTTCTTCACGTATTTAAAAACAATCTTCTCCGCCCCCACCCAATTTCCAACCCTTTTCATGTCCTTCATAGCCCTTATCACCGTCTGAAATGACCTCCTGTTTGATTTTAGGGCTGATGTCTTCCACCAGAGTATCAACCCCGGGAAATTTGGGCGGGCGCACATTAGGGGTTCAACCAAGGCATGCTAAATTCTCGAGGTCCGGTTCTTCTGCCACTCGGGGTTGAGGATGGCCTCCCGCAAAGGGCCGGGGCGCCGGCACTCCCCGCCCCACACTTGCTCCACGGTGGGGAGGTGACTGTCCCGCCCCGGGCCCGCCCCCTCCTGCCCATTGGCGGGCGCGCAGGGCGAGGCGGGGCGGGGAGAAGTGGTGGGCGCCGAGACTCCGCCCGCACCCCGCACTTGCGCCCGCGCCCGCGCCCTCCGCCGCAGCCGGTCCTCCAGCCTTCTTCACAGCAAAATGTTGCGCGCCGCCGCGGTCGCCGCCGCCGACCTTGGGCCCCGCCTTGGCTGCCGCTTGTTGTCCGTTGGGGCCGCCCAGGCAATCCCGACCCCCAACCAGCAGCCTGAGGTCTTCTATAACCAGGTGAGACCCCGCTTTGTCCTCGGGCCCGGGTCCCCGCAGGCCCCTCGGAGGGAGGGAACTTCCCGTATGGGAAAGCCCTGGGGCGCTGTGGGCCTCACTTTACCCAGAGTACCCAAAAGGTTCGCTGTGGTTGACTCCCCCATAAGTATATTTTAGTGTTTTGAATTGTAACAATTCAAGTAATCTGGTTGATTTGCTTTTCGATGCTGGGGATTGAACCCAGGCGGCCTTGTGCGTGTTGGGCAAGCGCTCCATCAATCTCTAAGCCCCTGAGGTTGATCTTTGCGCTTATCTTTCTCTCCCCGTCCTGCGAGCATTTTGTCCTCTTCGCCTCTGACAGTCTTTGTCCCATTTATTCCTCTGAGAATTGGGCTCCTAATTCAGCTTCATCCAGCTGCTCTCGGCGTTCCGTTTCGATTGCCCCATCTTCATGGCCCTAAACTTTCTGGCTCTTAGTGTCGCTGCGTCTGCGCAGGGTCCCCACCGTCACCGACCAGAAGACGCGTCCACCTCCGTCCATCTTTGCAGGAACTTTTCTTTTTCTTGGTGATCTCTTTTACCCTTGATTCACGCAAGCTGGGTCCTCGGCAGTTCAAAAGGAAAAGCTAAGGGGCCGGGAATTTAGCTCAGTGGTTCCGCCACCTGCCTCGAAAGCGCAAGGTCTCGAGTTCGATCCCCGGTACCAAACAAACAAACAAAAAAGGAAAAGCTAGGCGCAGGAAATGGGGAAAGTGTGGAGGATTCCCACGAGGTGTCTGCCCCCACCAAGGAGGTGTCTTTGGCCAAACTAAGGAGGGACCCTCCACGATCAGACGGATTCCCAGTGACCGATTTCTTGCCCAACCAGGACTTCAGATTATTTTTTCAGGGCCAGGGATTTAGCTCAGTGGTTCCGCCGCCGCCTGCCTTGAAAGCGCAAGGACCGGAATTAGATCCCTGGTACCAAAAAAAAAAAAAGCAAGTAGAATATTTTTTCATTGATCTTTCAAGTTGGGTGAAGTTCTGGATTCACACAAAGGGAAACTGATTATGAAAGTGTTCGTTTTGTTTGTGCAACAAGTGGGAGTTGGCTGCTGTCTTTTGGCCTCTAGTTTCTTCGGTAAAATGGGAAGGCGTTCAGAGGGATAAGAAGGGTCTTACACATGCAGGGCCTCATGCAGGTGCTTCCTAGTTAATAATAGCCTTCCTCTGCACAGCGTGTGGACCTGTTACCATTTCCTGTTTTGTCTTTAATTTTTACAGTAGTCCTGTAAGGAAGGTTTTGTAATTATCTCCATTTTGTAGTTGAAGAGACTGAGTCACAAAGAGGTTTAGTGACTTGCCCAAAGACCCAAGTCACTGGCTAAGTTGGGATTCACATCTAGGCTCCCAAGAGTAAGCCTTTAACCAGAACATTTCATGGTATGTTGCAACTCTGGGTGGGAATAAAGGGACCACAAATAACCAGGATGCACTAGGCAGGCTCTTGGCTTTTAGCAAAGCACCTGCTCTGGCTCCAGATCTCATATAAGTAATGGGAAAAGCACATCAGTGCTTTGAATGTTACAAAAACAAAACAAAACGTCCTTTATGTAACACAAGCCAAAAGTGCAGTGGCTGTTGCTCCCTTGAGGGGCTGCTTAACTGAGGCATTCGGCCTTGGAAGAGCTGAACATCAAAATGATCAAGCAGAGGTGTTCCCAAGGAGAGGTGGGCTTGCCTTGGAGGACTTGATCTGATCAACCTCTTCAGCCTTTGTGCTCATGTGGCAGTGAGGCAGCTGGGTCCTAACGTGCACCCTTGTCTGGTTGATACATGAGGCTTATTGTCCACATTTAGTCTGAGGGTATAGGGAGGGGGAGTGGACCAAATTCTCCCTGTGGCTCCTTTAAAAGATTTTTTGAGATCATAAAAGTAGCACATGTTCTCTGTACAAAATACAGAGTACAGACTTAAAACTCTGGCTGGCCTATGGCCCTTCCTCTCAGAGTTAATGTGTGTGGGAGAGAAAGCTAGGACACCCACTGCCACTTATCTCTGTCTTGATAAACAGTGTATCTGGATTATCTTCCTGAGTCAGTGTAAGCTTTCAGAAGAACCCAAAGCCCTTCACTCTGGCAGTAATGTACTGGAACTGGCTCTGGCTCCTTGGCTGGATCTAGGAACTCCTTGGTTGATTCTTGGACTGTTCTTGTTGCAAACTCTGCTGCCACCAATGCCAAGACTCTTACCAGAGACTCTGGGTGCAAACCAGATCATATTCCTGGATATTTTCCTGGTGCCCTATTGGTGCCTTGAAGTTCAGTGAACTGGGATGGATCTGCTAGGATTGCTTTCATGTTGTTTTTGCAGCACTGGGTTTGCTTGCAAGGGGTTATGGACACTCAGGGACATGTGACTCTCCATACCTGGGGGAGGCCATAGGTCTTCTTCCCACACAACAAGCAGAGGTGGAATGGGGTGGTTTGGTCCACCTTCCTGGTGTCCTCTTGCCGCTTCTTGTCCTGGGTGGGGCCAGAGGGTGGGTATACATCTTGGGTGGACAAGGGAGATTTTAGGTGACTTCTTTCCTCAGCTTCTGAGGACATTTCTTATCCTTGTTCATTTCAGGGACACACCTCTGTCAATGAGACTGATTTTTTTTCTTTTTTTAAAAATTCCTGTTTTCTCCTTGATGTGGAGAATAATTAAGATCTGGAAAGAACTCACACACCAGAGAGTTCATCTTCCCTGTTACTAATTCATATTTGTCAGTAATGAAAAGAACACAAGGGCCAGGGATTTAGCTCAGTGGCACTGTGCCTGCCTCGGAAGCGCAAGGTCTAGAGTTTGATCCCCAGGACCGAAGAAAAAAAAAAAGAACATGAGACATGTTGCCCTCTTGATTTAGACTGCCTGCCACTTACTAATCGATGAGAATTTGGAGGGAGGTTCATTCTTTGAAAGGGCACTTTCTGAGCACCCTCAGTCCCAGTGAACAAAAGAATCCTTGCCCGTGGGAAGCTTGAATCCTGTCAAGTGGAGACAAATACATAAGTCAAATGCATGGCATGGCCTGAGGTGATCAGTGTAATAGAGGAAAATAAAGCAGCAAAGAGAAGAAGTGTGTGCAGGGGTGGACTCTCTAACTCAGCTGCCACATCTGTAATATGGGTACAAATCCCATCTGCATTATAGGGTTGCTGTGAGGATGAAGTGGGGTCATCTTGTATAGCCCTTAGCAGTGGCGCATGGCTACTGAAGCATCCTTATTTGGCCTTGAATATGAATGGGGATAATAGTGCTGCTGTGAGCTGACAATATAATATGGTAAAACTCTATTTTATGTGAGTGCTGATGTGTTTGTAAGTGAACTAGGCCGTGGTAAAGTTGGATAGGAGTTGAATGAATTCAGTTGTCATCTTTATTCTTAGCTTCTTGACCACAGTGCTCAGGAACTAAAAAGACAACTGATGAAAAGGGAATTAAGAAAAGATCTTCCTATACAAACTTCTCTGATTACTATAGTAATACAAACTCAGTGCAAAAAGTGAGGCATTACCTAAGAAGTTAACCTGCTGGACATTCACTGGGAAGATACATAAGCCCTGCCTAGTTTATTGCAAGATAGGTTATATTAGTAGCAATTTAAGGAATAATCCAGGGCCAGGGATTTAGCTCAGTGGTTCAAGGTACTGAGTTCAATCCCTGGTACCAAAAAAAAAAAAAAATCCAGTTTGTTCTCTTTAAGGAAATAGAGAAACAACCTCTATTACAGTTACAGGAAGGAATGCAGCAATTATAAAGAATTAGCTAGAGCCAGGTATGGTGGCACACACTTGTAATCCCAGGCCTCTAAGAGGCCAAGACAAGAGGATCACGAGTTCAAGCAGTGTCTGGACAATTTAGTGATTTAATGATACCCTATCTCAAAATAAAAAATGAGAAATAGGACTGGAAACTTCTAGCATGCATTGGTGGGTCTAGGGAGCAGTTAGGAGGCAGTGCCATGCAGCATTCAGTGTCTCCACTGCACCTGTCTTGTACCAGCCTGGTTACTGGAATCCCCAGCAATAAAGCAAGATATTCCAGCACAGACGATGGCTACCTTAACCTTCAAGGAGAAACTTCAGCAGACTGTGGGAATCTTCCTTCTTTCCTGATGTCACGAGATCCAGTTTATTAAAGGTTAAGAAATACTCTCCTAAGATCCTTCACAAGGCCACTGCACTTTCCACTGTGCTGTTTTGTGGGGGGATTTTTGGACCAGGGATGGAATTCGTGTCCTTGCGCCTGTGAGGCAGGCCGTGGAACCACTAACCTAAACCCCCAGCCCCACAGTGTGCTGTTTTTGATCAGCACCTTTCTTATTATCATAGGCTCCTTCCTGCTGTCGGGCTACATGGGGGAGGGGGACCAAGCTGTTCCCAGCCTGATCATTGGCATTCTGGTGGTCCTGCTGGGATTTTACCACCTGCACATTGCCTACTATGCATCCAAAGGCTACCAGAGTTATACCTACAATGACAGTCTGGACTTTGATGACAACCCTAAAGAGAGTCATGTGTAACTGTACCCATCTTTAAGATACTGAGGAGAAGGGTGGGGGATTTAGCTCAGTGGTTTCGCCGCCTGCTGTGCAAGCGCAAGGACCCGAGTTTGATCCCCAGTCCCTCGTACCAAAAAAAAAAAAAAAAAATATGCTCAGTTTTTCCTGGATAATTAACAACGCTATTCTTCCACAGTATCTACTGATGTGGAAAAACCGGAGCTTTTGCCAGAGGCAGGAATAAAATTTCTAAGGATGTAGTTCATGTATCTCAGTGAAGCTTGTGGGTTCAATCCCTAGCACTGCAAAAAAACAAATAAAGAATTAGCTGGATGTGTATGACTAATAGATCTCAAAAACAATGTTTCAAGGGGGAAAATGTCCTGCACCCTATACATTTGACAGGATGAAACCAATTAAAACTACTTAACAGCCAAGCTACTTGGGAAGGTGAGGCAGGAGGATTGCAAATTTAAGCCCAGCCTGGGCAATT